GAAATTAAAGAAATAAAAAAAAAACTCAGAGAAATCTTGTGCCAGGCTGACAGGGGAACTCTAGTATGTGTATGGAGTGGCTAAGAGATGCCTGAGAGACAGTAAATGGGTCAGGGGCTTGCTTTGCAGGCAGCCCACTTGGGTTCAATCCCTGGCACCACATAGAGATCTCTGAGGCCTGCCGGAGTGATCCTTGAACACCACCTTCTGTGGCCCAATCACTGAGACCCCATGGAGAAAAATGCCGACTACCAGCGGGAATCTGTAGCCTTGTAGGATGAGCGATTCCAAGGTGAAAATTGAATCATTAATCATTTAATGTGGATTTAAAAAGTTTGGAGATCTTTTTTTCTTTTTGGGTCACCACTGGTGATGCTCAGGGGTTACTCCTGGCTCTGCACTCAGGAATTACTCCTGGCGGTGCTCGGGGGACCATATGGGATTCTGGAAATCGAATCCGGGTTGGCCGTGTGCAAGGCAAACGCCCTACCTGTTGTACCATTGCTCCAGCCCCAAGTTTGGAGTTTATAATCAGTAAAGTTATATGGTGATTTGAAGCATTAACTCATGTTTCAGAAAGAATCATAAATTATTAATTATTCCTTGGACTTGTCACCTCCCAGCCAACACCAAAGATGCAGGCAGAGAACGCAAAGGAGGGAATCTCCTGGGACCTGCAGCTGTTTCTCCCTGAGGGCAGATGCAAGTGATCACCTGGAAAGAACTGGGCTTTCCTCTTCAATAGCGCAAGGCCTCTAATCCTATATCTATCATTTATCTATTTCATTTAGTACAGGGGCTGGAGCGATAGCACAGCGGTAAGGCATTTGCATTGCATGCAGCCAGCCCAACCGAGCTGGGTTTGATTCCTCTGCCCCTCTCAGAGAGCCCGGCAAGCTACCGAGAGTATCTTGCTCGCACGGCAGAGACTGGCAAGGAACCCGTGACGTATTCAATATGCCAAACACAGTAACAACAAGTCTCACGATGCAGACCTTTCTGGGCCTGCTCCAGCAAATTGATGAACAATGGGAGGACAGTGATAGTGACAGATTTATTTATTAATTTTTTGCGGTGCTCAGGGCTTTCTCTTGTGCTCAGGGATGACTCCTGATGGACTTGGGGAACTTAGGGAGCACTCTATCTGCTGAACTATTGTGGCCCATATTTTTTCAATAGCACGTCATTAGAAGGTGGCTGAAAACACCACTACACCAGCTGATGTCCACATGTTGAACAAAACACGATTCAGGGACCTGCTATTGCTTTTTTCTTTTCTTTCTGGCTTTTGGGCCATACCCAGCTATGTTTGGGGCTTGCTTACTCCTGGCTCTGTGTTCAGGGCTCACTCCTGGCAAGGCCCGGGACTAAACATGGATTGGCCTCATGCAAATCCAACACCTACCCCACTGGACCATCTCACTGGCCCTAGGGACCTGCTATTGTTACACAAGAATGTATGAAAGGCATTAAGTGAGAAGGAACAGCACAGCGCTACCCAGGCACATGCAAACATCATCCTCTGTGCCTTTCTCGCAGTGGGGACTGAGAAGTCCCTGCTGTGGTCCCATTCAGAGGGTGGTAGGTTTGTCTGCTGGATCAGTCACTTATTATGCAAGGACTGATGGTGTCTGACTCGGCCCTCATCACAGCCAGGAGCTGGAAACCAGATATGATCTCACAGGACTGAGGAGGTACCAGGGGAATCAGGAGGTACAGGGGAGGCTGGTGGAGGGGCTGCAGGGGCGCTGTCCAATGTCCTCTGCTAAACAGATCACATTGACCTGGCCCCAGAGACCAGGCTGCTTCCTGCGTGGAGGTGCCTCGGTATGAAAGTATGACTGAGGGGTATAATCAAGAACATGCATGTATGAGATCTTGGCAGGTAAGTTTTTAACTTCCCAGGACCAATCTCCCTGGGATCCGAGCAGTATTAGGCATGGCCACCCTTCCATCTGTCTTTCCTGGGGGGGTCCCTTGCTCTCCCCTCTCTTCCTTCCCCCATTGACCACCTCCACAATGACTTCAGAACGTGTGTCTTTTGCCAGACTCTCTCTCCCAGCATCTGGCTGCTGGCAGTAACTGCCTATTCAATAGCTCCTCTGAGATAACTGTCCAATCCAATCCAATCCAATCCAGTCCCAATTCAATCCAATCCAACACATTTGATCCTGGCTCTGGGCTCTTTTCCCCATCCCCCCTGTTTTCTTTACAAGCTGCTTCTCCTGAGAGTGATACCCATTCCCCTGGCACTGAAGCTTTAGGAAGTCACCTGAATCACCTTCTTCCACCTGCCCCAATCTCCCCCCAGATACCCCCAGGAGTAGGCTTCCATTCAGTATCTTTATATTTCTCTCCAGTCCACTGTCATGCTTTGTCCTTCCTTGGGTTTCCATGGCTGCAGTGTGTTGGCCCTCTGAAATCCAGTTTGACTCAGCTCCATATCATTCCCTATTCTTCACACAAAAAGATCTTCTCTAGGGTCCAGTCCCACTCGGCCCCAGATCAGTCCCTAGTCTGCAAGCAGAGGGGTCTTCTCTGGCAGTAAGATGTGGGATTGCCCCATCCACCCCCGCTCCATTCACTTAGAAGAATCCACCGATGTCTCCATTAAAGAACCAAAGATGTTCCAAGTCCATATAACCTCACCTCCAGGGACCCTCCAGTCTCTCTCCATTCACATCTATTCCCAGGGCCAAATTCAGGGCCCACAGCACTGGCAGCCATGCCAGATGTTCCCCACCCCCAAGGGACATCACAGCCTTCTAGCACCTACAAGCACCAAGAAGCATTTCTGCCCTATGCCAGGGGGGTCATCAGGTGAAAGAGGGAAACTGCCAACAATAAGCACCCCAAAACGCAAGAACCATGGCATGGGACAGAGCAGAAAGATGACAGGTGCTAGGAGACCCAACAGCACAGGAAACAGGAGGGCAGAGCATCCCTGCTGAGAAACGCGAGGCTGATAAAGTGACTCAGACCCATTCCTGTTCTGTCTGGCTCTGGGGGGATGGTGGCAGAGGTTCCAGGGCTGACCCTGTGCCTTCACAACACTCACAAATCCACGAGCAATGACTGGCTTCCCAGGATACCCAGGACTATTATCCCACACCCAACCAAATCCTGATGCCTGCACATCATGGACACAATTAAGCCCCCATCGAGACACTATGCTGAATGAAAAAGGCCAGACACAAAAGGAGACACCTTGTATGATTCCACATGTACAGAATAGCCAGAAGAGGCAAATGCACACACCAGGAACTGGAGCAGGGGAAATTAAAAGCTAAAGAACCATTCAGCATGCTCCTAATTTCTGCTTGGGGAGGTAGAAAGTTCTGGAGGTAGAGAGAGAGGTAGGGTGAAGGTCTTCATGCTGCTTATGGAAATGAAAATGCCTCAGGAACCGGAGAGATACTACAAAGGTTCTAGGCACTTGCCTTACATGACCCCAGTTCAATTCCCAGTACTATGTAAAGTCCCCAGAGCACTGCCAGGGGTCACTCCTGAGCACAGAGCCAGGAGTAGCCCCAGAGCATCATCACCTATAATCCCCAAACCCCTCATCCCCAAGAAATATAGTTGAAAGGGAATATAATTGAAAAGGAAGCTTTTATATGATACATGAACACAGATCTATCTAACTATAATGAAGCAGAATTAATATGCGATAAAATCAGATTAAATGGATTGTCTGAATTATTACTTAAAAGCAAACTCTCAGTACAGAAGCAACTGTTGGTGCACACAGAGATGCTTTTTTTCACTGACACTTTCTTTTATAACAAGGACCCTCCTTGATATGTTTGTCTTTGGGTTTATGGGACACATTTGAAAACAGGCTTTACTATTTAATGATAGCAGCTGACGATGGAGGAAAACAAGTGAATGAAAACGTGCCTATCAGCTGCCTGGCCTCCCCTCAAGCTTTGGGTGAAAAATGTGTGTGATACTCTGCATCACTCTATCTGACGAGTTGTCAAAAGAGGGGTCACGTTGAGGAACAACAGCTGATGCTCTTAAATTTATCTCGGGAATAAAATAGTCTTTGCGGCACACGGTATCTGGGTGGAGTGCGACTCAGAGGCAAGCCACTACTGGAAATATTTAGGTATCTTGGCATGAGATGTCCACTTTGCCTCCTGTGCACTGAGTTTCTTTCTTTTATCACCAATCTATTTCTCATCTGCTTTCTTCCCTACTGAAAAAACCTATTATCACATCTCTAGAGAGTTAGAGAGAACCATCTGTTAGAAAATGGCTGTGGTTACAATCATAATTCCAATGTTCCTTTTTAAGGATTTCTTGACCCAACAATTACAAAGAAGCACCGCTGGATATAAACAGAAACGGAACGTGTTAATGCAGAATGCAAACAGCGTTAGAATGTAAACTTAACGTAGGAAGGCCTTCATGGCCAAAAGAACGGGGGGAATCTATTACCATTCCTTCAATCTTGCAGAATGCATCATGAAACTAAAAATGTTTCACTACAGAATAACATTTTGGCTTCTTTTATGATTGCAAAGGAGGGTAATTATGATTGTCATGAAAACACATTGAGCAGCTGTATACTGTTAACAAAAGAACCATTCTATGAATGCGCGCGAAAACTGGCACTTTATACATTCACATTTCCTAGAAATTAGACAGTCTTCCCAACTGGAGCAACGACCCAGAGAGACTGTTCTCTATTAATCATGGCTCTGCACCAGTCGCGTTGTGGGAGCCAATTGGATCATCCTTCTTTTGGGAAAATTCCTACATACTATTATGTGCGATCTATATATACGGATTTATATATATTCAGACGTGTGCATTATACATTTCTAAAAAGTCATTTTTAAGTTCTTCAACAAGAGTGCTTTCACTCTTTAAAAAAATCTTTCTCATCACGGATTCTTTCACAAACGTACATCTGTGTAGAAATCATGAAAAAAGAAAACCATAACAAATAACTCAGCAGTTTATTTTATGAAGGCTAATTAATAGGTACTTACTCATTAAAGACTAGGTCTGGCGCAAAATAGAGATATTGGCTGTTCGTATGTTTGTACGATCTCCAGCTCAAGGCAAATGATGATAGACACATCCAAGAATACTGGATTAGGGTAATTTGGTCCTCAAGAGGCAAGTTTTTAAATCCTGAAGAACAGAACAATTAATCACAGAAATACACTTAGTATTCAAGTACCTTCCAGGAAGAAGCTTAAGTCAGCCCCAAACCGCCACCTTTTCCAGACAGACTGCCTTCAAAGTCACAAACATTTTACGGGGTGGTGGTGGTGTTGGGGTGAGTATACTCATCAGGGATCTGAGCCTACTCACTTCATTTAAAATGACCTTACACTAGCTGTGAGGAAAACTGGTATGGTGAATGCATCAGAGAGTTCTGAAATATTATGGATGATGGTCTAGGGCCTTTGCAGAAGAGTATTTACCTGCCAAACTTCACTTCATCCTATATTCAATAACACTAAAATAGACATGACTGAATACTAAAATAATAAATAAATACTACTTATAAGTACAAAGTATCACACTATTTAAGTAAAAGGTAAGGTAAAGGTAAAGGCCCTCCCGTTGATCGTCGATTTGCTCGAGCGGGCCCAGTAACGTCTCCATTGGAGACTTTGTTGTTACTGTGTCTGGCATATCGAATACTCTCGGTAGCTTGCCGGGCTCTCTGAGAGGGGCAGAGGAATCGAACTCGGGTCGGCCATGTTGGCTGCGTGTAAGGCGAACGCCCTACCCGCTGTGCTATCGCTCCAGCCCTAAGTACAAAGTATCACACTATTTAAGTATTCTAAATCAATACTATAAGAACACTAAAATAGCTAGCTACCAACATAGCAATAATGGAGGAAGACTGACTTTTCATGAATTTGTGGTGACTGAGAAATATCTTTCCTTGCATCCAAAAGCCTGAGCTACTATCAGACTTCAACAGAGCTTAAAAGAAGGATGTAAGCTGCCTCCTGCCACCTTTCTCCTTGCAGTCTCCAAGTTCACCTCTTGTTTCTCTTCTTATGTCCATTTACACCCCACCCCGCCAGCAGGATAATAGTAATCTTAAAAACCTCATAATTAATGACGTCAGACAGCGTGACAACAATTCTAAGTGCTGTTCTGTGGGGGAACAGGGTCTGATCAATGAAGATCTTTAATATCAAAACGCTATGAATTCCAAAGATAATACAAAGGGTCCAGGTATGTGTGCATGCATGTGTGTGCAGGGGGTTGGGGGGGGGGCTATAACTAAGTTGTCGTGCCTTGCATGTGTGAGGCCCTGGGTTCAAATAAACAAACTGTCTGAGGTGATAATTTTGGAAGTAGTAGTTCAATATTTCAGGTTTAATGCAACCATTTGTAGGTCTGAGTGCGGGCTGTATCCCCACAGGGTGTATTTTGACCTTATTCACTTTCCATGCTAGAATGTTCTATTTCAGTTGCCGCCCTGAAAAGTATCTGGTTCCACCCATGAGAGAACCCATAATCCTACCAGCTCAGAAGAAATGGGGACCGCCTTTGCGGGATGTCACCTGGATTTCCCATGACTTGGTCATTCATGACACAAACCTGGCATCAGTTGGGGCGGGGTGGGGGGTGGAGAGGGGGCAGCCAAGGACGGATGTAGAGCCTGGAGCCTTACCTGGAAGTACCTTTGCCCACTTCACCACCTGAATCATCTGCTTGCCCGCTAAGCGGTTGAGAGTGGACAGCAGACCTTCGGGAGTGTCCGGCTTCGAGCTGTCATAGCCCGCGTACACGACTTCTGGCTCGATGGTTTCCAGGACCATGACTGGGGACGGTGTGAGGGCGCGGGTGATGCTGGAGAGCTGTGGCACGAGCGCTGTGTTGACCGATGGCTCCTTGGCCGGGGCGATGTAGGTGGTCCCTTCCTCGGGACTCTGCGGGGGCGGGGGCGGGGGCTCCTGAGACTGGCCCTCGTGAATCCCTTTTAACTTGCCCAGCTTCTTTGACTTTCGGGCTGCGGGGAAAGGAGGAACACCAGTGGCGAGTGAAAATCTGATTTTGGAGGGGGGCAGATGACGGTCAAAAGGGAGGGACAGAGATGGAAGCATACGTGAACGATGCCATGTCACGCGGCTAGGAAGAGCACCTTGTTGATACTCTCCCAACACCAGGCCTGGTCCCAAGTGCTTTGCTCTCATGGACTGTTCTAGGAATCGGCAAGCAGGCAGCATGATAAGTCTCATTTTATAGTGAGAAAACTGAGACCAGAAAGGCGAAGATCACACAGGAGAGAGACTGAAAATACAGATTGCCAGTTCTGACACAGGGCTTTCATACGCTAAAAAATTAAACACCTCAACTACATGTTTCCCTACGTTTTGCCCATTTTGGTTTCAGGGCCACACCTAGCCGTGCTCCCATCTCTGAGCTCAGGGATCACTCCAGGAGGAACTCGGGACCATAGAGAGTGCCGGGGAATGAACCCCAGGCCAGCCACATGCAAGGGAAGTATCTCTCTGGTCCCTCAGCTGAATCTTTCATCAGCCAACAAATGCCAACTATTGTCCACCGGAGCTGTTAGTGTTAGAACCACCTCAATGAGCTTCTGACTTTAGCTCTACGCCAGCTGTTCTATTGAGCTTACTCGGCATCTTTTCCTGCTCATCTTTGGGGCTTCTGTAGCCCAGATTCTCTCTGCCCAGGAGCAAACACTTGTTTATGCCACATAGTTTTCTCGAGTATATGCTGCAAGCTCTGTGTTCCCAGCTCCTCTGTGAACCTTTGAAACAAAGTGTGGGTGCTTCTTCCAGAACAACTTGGTAAATGCTATGGCCAGGAGGGCTGATTTCTAGATTTTCATGGAATGAATGGGAGTGCAATCCAACCCAAAGAAAAACTTTAAGTACTTGGAGGATTTCAAATAGGATAGCTAACTATGAAAATACCAAGGAATCCAGCCTCCCCGCCCAGACTAGGGTAACTTATATTGATACACATACAGAAGTGTTGAAAAATCTGGGAGGAGACAGTACAGCAGCTAAGATGTCAGGCAGCACCCAGCTCAGGTTGGATCCAAGAGTCACCTGGCTTCCCCGGCAGCACCAAAAACAGCCTTGGAGAGGCCCTGAGCACTTCAGGGCTTGCCTGGGTGATCCCTGACACTGCAGGACCCGAGAAACCCAGTAGTGGGACCTGCAGGCCTCTTGAGCACTGCTTGGGAGATACCCAATAAATCAACAGAATAAAGCATTTGTTCTGTTCTTTGCACGAGAAATACAGATACCAGAGAGAGTAACGCTGAGATCAGCCCCGAGGCTGCACAGGAATCCTGGGACACACACAGAGGTAAACTCCATGAGTGGCTGTATGCTGTGTTTATTCAGAGCTGGCTTTGGGTGTGCTTGTGTTGTCTGCATGTTTGTGCAGAGCACTGCTCACGTGGCAGAGTGCCAAACTTTGTCCTAGAATGTATGACGTGGCCATCCTCGTCAAAACCCACAAGATTCATATTGGACTTTCGTAACAACTGCTTTTCTTTCATACACCTCACCAGTGCTTTTAAATACGGTGTGGAAATGCAAGCAAGGAGGTGGAAGGGAGAATGGGGTGGGAGGCAGGTGGGTGAGTGGATGGATAAGACTTCACTTCCCCTGGGCAGAGAGACAGTACAGCAGGCAAGGCACTTGCCCTGCACACAGCAGAACTAGCTTCTGCATAGGGTTTATTCCATAGGACCCTCAAGTCCCACCAGGACTGATGCCTGAGCAAATCTGGGTGGGGTCCCCAAACCAAACCAAAACCAAAACCAAAAGCAAAGATGGGAAGTACAGAAGCGGCAAGTCAATTCAGAGTTGTGGGAGTTTTCACTTAAAGTTTTACATTAGAAGGGAAACATTATTTTTTTTTAAATTCATGAAGAACCAGACACCTTTCACTTATTGTGAGCGCACAGGAGGAATGTCTAGGCTACAGATGGAACCTAGAATAGGCTGCTATTCTGAGACACTTACACATTAAAAAATAACCACTTGGGTTTATAATCGAAGGGTCTGAGAGTTGCCCAATTAGGCTGGAAATGCTCAGTCAGACCAAGACAAGCTGCTCTTTAACACTAGATGTCTCTGCTCTGTCTCTGCTCTCTGCTGTCTCTGCTCTGTCCAGAAATGCTGGATCTGGGTTTAAAGGGGACACGAGGTTCCATCTCTATCTTACAGGAATTTAAGATGAATGGTCCTGCTTCTAAAGCATCTGTCCTTTCTAATCATCCTGTTTCTTTGTGGACGGCTCCTTCTATGGAAGATCTGCGGGGATAAATCCGTATCCACAATGTGGGCAGAGTAGTTGGTAAAGGGGTCCTGCATGTGCATAGAAAACGGCCTGGAGTAGGGCCCACAGCGGGCGCATGGCACTTCTGGTGAACGATGACTGGATGGCCAAGGAGCTGAATACGGGCGGGGCTGCAGAGATCTATTTTAACTCTGGGTGCCACAGGAGTTCCTGAGCCATGCCAGGTCCTGAAGCATCACTGGGGGTGCCCTGGTGGTAAGAAGCTTGAATATCTCTAGTAGAGGCTCCAGTTCCCCTAGAGCATACTGGGGAGCCCCCCGAATTTGCAAAGGGTGGGAAAAATGAGGGGGAGGGTGTCAAATAAAAGAGTGAAATGCCTCAGTAATTCACAGTACTGGCTGCTGACTCCTTAAAATCCCCAAAGGCACATACTGGTCATTTGGGTGAATTCAGTACCCAGAGGTATTATAATACCTCCATTGATTCATCTGCAAAATGGGCACATTAATACCTTCCTCTCCTATCTTACTGAGGGATAAATGGAGTCCAAAAATAAAAACATGCTCAAAATCCTTACAGCCGAATGATTTTTTTTTTTGTAGTGATGGTGATGGTGGTGTGGTGGGGTCATGCTCAGGGCTTATTCCTGGCTCTGTACTCAGGAATTACTCCTGGCAGTGCTCTGGGGATCATATGGGATGCCAGGGATCGAACTCGGGTTGGCCCATGCGAGGCAAACACCCTCCCTCCTGTACTACCGCTCTGAACCCTGAAGCATTTTTTTTAAATGCTACTTCTACTCGTTCCTATTATTTTGCAAACAGAGAAAATATTTCAGTTCATTAAAATGCCCTCCTGCCTCATAAAACTGCATCCACTGGTACCCGTGATTTGCCTGACCACGGAGAGCCCAGGGTGATATTTTCAAATTTTATTAAAAGTGATATTTGCCCACAAATTAATTATAAAATTCCTATTTGCTCTAGGCCTTAGATCTATAAGGCTGTGTTTATTCTCAGGACAGATTTAAGGTCAGTGCTATGAAATACGATGAAGAATGCTTAGTATTTTCTCTAGCATGATTATACAGGTCGGGGCACACAACCAATTCAACAGATTATCAACATGGTTTTTAGCATTTCAGTTATATTCAACGGCAGGCTATGATTTTGTGAATAGGTGCGGGGCACACTTGGATTTCAGTAATAATCTATATTTACTTAAACAGTTCAAGGTAATAAATATTTTCAGCGTGTAGAATGTTTGGCAAGTGGATCTAGCCACTCTCTTTTCTGAAAGAGAGTATAATGACACAATTACCTGTGCTTTTACCAAGGTAGTTCTTCCTAAAGCCTGGATAATTTTATACTATTCTTCTACTTGCTGTATTCTGAAAATAGAACTATTTTTTTTAGGACACACCCTATTGGTGCTCTAGATTTACTCCTGACTCTGCACTCAGTGATCATTCCTGGGGAGCTCAGGGGGTCATATGGGTTTCTGGGGATCAAACCCAGGTCAGCTGCATGCAAGGCAAGTGCTCTACCCACTGCACTCTTGCTCTGACCCCCTGAAAATAAAACTTTTGAGGGCTGGAACAAATGCCTCTGTATTCCTACAACATCCCTTTCCATGGTATTTGTGGGTAGCCAGTGTTGGCTGAATACGTTTATGTAAAGCTTTAACAAAGCTTAATAAAATATTGACTTCTAGTAAAATTATATTCCATCTATGCAATATCAATTTGCTTCCACATAAGAGATATAGGAAAGCTTTTTGAGATCTGAAGATAAATGATCTGAATTGTTTATTATTCCTCTTTGAAATCTCTACTGCGTGTACCATATACTTTAGCACTGCTATAACCATCATTCCACAATTACAACTAAAGAAACACTCCCACTCCTGCATAATGATTTGTAGGTTTTTTTTTTTCCTTTTTGGTCATACCTAGCAATGCTCAGGAATTACTCCTGGTGGTGCTTGGGGAACCATATGGGATGCCGGGTGGGGATCGAACCTGGGTCAGCTGCATGTAAGGCAAGCACCCTTTCTGCCGGACTATGACTTTGGCCCCTGCAGTTATTTTTAAAAGTGCCATATCTAGTGGTAAGCTACATTCATTGAGCACTTCTGTCCCCATCACAGCTCCAAACCCTTTCTGATGTTGTCTTTGCATCTCTACCCAGATAGTGTGGTAAGGTTAGACTGGACCTATTTTATAGGTATAGAGGCTGAATCAGAGCAAAGCGCTTCCTCAAGGGGGTAGACCAGGACACAGGCCGGCCTGACGATAGCTCCAGCTCACAACCTGCATTCTGCCCCTCTGTGTTGTGAAGTCTCTCTTCTCTGTTGAACTTGTATTTGGGGTGGGAGGTGGGGTGGACAACACACTCAGTGCTTAGGGTTGTTCCCGACTCCATGCTTGGGGTAAAGCACTGGGGCACCAGAGAATTCAAACCTGGATCAACTGTATGTAAGGCAAGCAACTGGCTGACCTGGGATAGCTCCCTGATGCCTTCATTTATATCATGTCTATTTTCTGAGACTAACCCAGGCTTCAAATGCAAGAGACTAAGAAGTTTGCTAACTACACAGGGACATCTTTGGCCAATGCCCTTACTGAGCAAGTTTTCATTAGGCGGAGCCTTTCTGAACATCACTTTGGGGGTCTTACTGCTACCCAAACATAATCTCCATTATGTTCATGGCCATAGGGCCAGGAAA